CATCTGGACCTCATTTCTACCCTGGGGAGAGAGAAACTAAAATATTACAATAAATGTGACTTTTTTATCCTGAACATCGAGTGGAGAAAATCGTCTTCAATTATAAATGTTGTTTGTAATACATTTATTTTCGTTAACAGGCAAATTAAAGGGTGTGCTAATCATTATTCAGGCGTCCTACAGCTCCACGCTTGCTGAGCGCGTGCGTGCGCCCGCGCGCGCCTGTGTGTGTGTGTACGTCGCCGCGCACAGATCGCGAGGCTGTTGTTGCGAACAGCTCGAGGAATTAACGATTTTTTTCTATTAAACAAAAAATTCAGCAGTAACGGACGCGTACTAGAGACGTTAACGCAAACTCACAGTATTTTTTCTAGCTTTTTTGACATTTATCTTAACCATGGCTGTACTAATGATCTGAAGAAATCACTCCGCAAAAGTTTTGACTTGTATTAAATCATTTGTATTGTTGGGGCTCTCCCAAACGGATCATTGAAGGCTCGATCAAGCGATTAGGAATTACGGAATTTCATGTAAACTTTGTAAATGAAGATTAAAAACATCGGCACGCGCTTATTCTCTCTGCCGGACATCGCACATGGGGTGAGTATCATCATCACAGCACTATAACTAACGATATCTCACTGTATACATAGGCTGGTCAAAATGTTCCTATGTTTCAATAGCTTTATGTCTGCTTTCCTTTTCGTACCAGTGCGATAGACCTGTATTTTAATGCAGTTAATGTCCACCACCCCTATGCAAATGTATAAGACAGATGTGTGAGCCCTTCTCAGAATTCATTCTTTTACAGTAAATTGTGAAGTGTTAAATTCGTCAACACCGACACTTTTCTATCATCACCATTAGCTCAGTCGTTGATCTTTCTCTCTCGCATGCACCGATCAGATTGTGAAATGTGTGAGATAATCTTATCATAGCGTTCGACACATGCATATTCCACTAGTGTCAGTTTCAGTGAAGCATGATATACACCAGTGTTTTGCATAATTCACGAGAAAGTAAAGTAGTAAACCGTAAATGTTTAAGCACGTGTGTAATGTGTAACATGCATGCAGTTAAACATTGACCTGCTGGACTTCATGTGTATTCCAGCAGCTCTTCATTTGTCAACAGAGACGGGCTCTTTGCACGGAAGGAGCTTTGCGATATTTGTAGCCTTCGCAAAACTCGCCGTGGGGATTCGTCCATCCGTCACCGAAAGGATGGCATTGTTCTTTAAAGGTCTTATTAATAAGACAAAAGACTCTATTATGGCATTGTGCTGCTGCTGGACTGAGTTTTCTGAGTCTAGGGTCTGTTTCTTAAAGGGATAGTCCATCCTAAAATGACAATTCTGTCATTTTCTCTTTCTGTCTTGAAACCCCCGAAAATATATGTTTAGGGTATTTTTTTTTAACTCAAAACACAAAAAATATTGTTGTCTGACATGATTTTAAAGTGATAGCTCACCCCAAAATGTAGATTTTGTCATAATTTACTCATCCTCATGTTGTTGTAAACTATGATTTCCTTTCTTCTGTGAAACACAAAAGCTTGTGGCATGTAATTGTTTCAAGTCAATGGTAGCTGAGGCTGTTCTTCAACCCGAAACCTGGTTCTTGATAAGTTTGTTGAAAGTCTTTGTTTGATTTCAACATCATTCATGCATATGCACATAGCAAACTAGTTGCAAGACGAACCAGTTGCGTTTTTATGAAGCTTGATAGTAAAAATCAGTGCCTGCTATCCTCTTAGATGTATGTTTTTGTTTTGTTTGTTAAGCATTCAGAATTTTTTTTCAGACCAACTTAACCAAATTTTCAATTTTGGGTAGGCAATCCCTTTAAGGGTTTTTTTTTTTTTTTGGTGTTGACTGTGTTTTATTATGAAACTAGACAATTGTACTGATGTAGGTCAGATCTATTGTACAGATTTGTGTCTCCCTTGGAATCTAAGGATACATTGAAAAGCCATTGCGCTGGTTTCTGAATTTAGGTCATATGAAATGCACCCGTCCCTTAAGTCCAGAATAATCATTCGCTAACAACACCTCTCTGAGGTACTGACTCACAATTCTCTCCAGGACAAGAAAAAGGGATGAGGTCGAGATGTTTTTGCAATCCGCTTTTGTGGTACACAATACCTCCCTCTACAAGATAAGCTGATATGTGAGAGGAAATGCTGATTATCGCGTTGAGAGTTGTCCATCTATCATTCTCAAGTGTGGGTGTGAAATGTGTGCTCTGTCACGTTATTCTTCTAAAAGCTTCAAATGGATTGATTGCATTATCTTGTCTGTTCTGGGACTGCATGCAGAGTGCTTGGAGATGCGCATGGGGATTTCGGGATGCTTTTTAAACTGCTTATTAGATGGAAATAGCATTACTAAAGTGGGAAAATTATGATGAGCAGGAATATCAGGTGTTGGATCTGTTTGATGGTTGTGGAGATGCATGTCTAGGGTCTTGTGTTGAGGGGGTGGCAGCTTTTCATCACGCTGCGATCCGATCTGTAGACAGAGCTAACATGGGCAGCATGTAGTCCGCATTGGCATCATGTGATGCCACGCTTCATTAAACCAGAACAAAACCAGCCACGCTGTCTCAGCTGACCACCACCAATGTTCTTCACTCAAGTTCACACGCCCAGCCCATGTCTACGTGAGAGAAACTTCAGCTGTGGTCATAATTTAATATATTACCCACTGTGACTCTTATCACCAAGTCAACATGGACACTTCACACTTTTATTATATTTTCTGTTCTTTTATGTTCATCGTTTACTCGGGACAAACTTGAAGTTTGTTAGCTGGCAGCGTTAACTGTTATCAAATTAGCCTCTGAATATGAAGAGCTTTGTTGATGACAGACACTCCAATTCCAAGGAAGTCTCCTGAGCTTTCCAGAGAATTCTGCGTGCCTTAGACTAGGCATAACTATGACTCACCATGCCACTCAGACTATTCACTTTCAAAGTTTCACGATGAACTGAAGCAAAGCGGCTTTGCCTTCAGATATGAGTGGTACTATTCGTTATGATGGCGTCGCACAGGTTGGCTGTCTGATTGTTACTTGCTGGCGCTTTTTTCCTGAATTCCCCTGACCTTCATTTCAACTCGTTTCAGAATGAGGTTCGTTCCCCATGGCTTGGCTCTGCATGCCCACAGGTCGCACATGTGCATGCAGACGTCAATGAGGAGGGATTGTGCATGAGAGGCGAAGTTAAATAAAAAAAGTGAATAAATAAACGGAAATCTAAGCAAACGGAAAGATAAATAAATGTTGCAGGCGGTGGTGGGAACTGGAAGTGTGGGATTTTTGGGCTTGGTCACATGATGGGTTACGGGTGGGGCCAGGTCACTGTGTGGGCGGAGCGATTCCTCAAGGACTTTTGCGTTTAGCATTTTGGCAACAGGCGCAGAGCACTTGCAGAACGTCCCGAGAGAACCTTCTCTGAGGAAGACTGAATCCCTCAAGTCAGGCAGAGTATATAAAACAAGTCCACCCCAAAAATGAAATCACTTGCTCATGTCGATCTCTCTTTTTTCCCATTTCAGGGCTGGATGTTAGTCTGGACTAATATTTAAGAGCAGTAGCACTGGTGCCACTACAGATGGTAGCAGCAGCACCAAATTTGGTAGTCCTAGTGCTTTGATTTTTAATCATAAAGGTCATTTAATCGTAAATTTCACTTGCTTGAATGCCTCAAAAGGTAATATGAAATGAAACCTGAAATAATTCAAATAAAAACATTCGACATTCTGCCACAATGGTTAATGTTAGCCTGGCTAACGTCAGACTGCGTCTCATTGACATTTAGACGTGGTCTGGGAACCACACGTTAATTTTCTCGTATTTGAGGCGTGGGTTACGAATGTCCAGAGACGTTTATTGGGTTCTACGAATGTCTAGCAAATGCGCCTGTACGTAGCTCGTAGCCAATCGTTTCAGTTAAACCAGATGACGTATGTAGAATGAAATAAATTAGACGAGGAAGAAGACGACGAGTCCGAGATTTATTTGCGTTCTAAATAGTGTTGCCACGATACCAAAATTATAGTTTCGATACCGATACCAAGTCAAGAATTGCGATTTCGATACTTTTTCTATTTAAATTATTTATGCTATCTATGAAAGTTGGGGGGGGGGGGGGTTGTACACCTAATACAAAAATAAATAATGATGATTTTAAATAATGATGAAGTGATGATTCTCTCTGACCAATCAGCAGTCGACATTTTTTTCACATGACATTTTAGTATCGCCTTAGCTCGCTCAGAACCTTGCCGGAGGTGGTACAAAAAAAGTACCCGAAAGCAGGAACAGGTACAACTTTTACACAGTGGAAAACCAAACAAAGGCGAGCCGAGCCAGGTCGAGTCGAGTCGAACTGGTAATGTGTAGTGGAAAAGTGCCATAAATGAGGACTGGGGGAAAAGTAGCACTATAAAAGTAGTCTAAATGATTTCTGCGCTCTTAAGTCGGTGAACTTGAGAATTTGTAAATTCATGAATGAAACATTTGGGATTTGTGAACCGAATCATTGAAAACACTTCAAAATTAGTCTTTTATGGCGCAATTTGGAGCTTAACCGTTTTCATCCACTTTCAATAAACGTCAATGTTCTGTGTTTGAAACAAAATGCGGTTAAGAAAATCGTCACAATCACCTTTGGGTGTACTCCTTTAAGAACAAAAGGCAAAGGTAATATGGAAGACGGTCATCTTTGGTGAACCAATATGTTTTGTTGTTCAGGCAGGGTGAAAGAATTGTTGGCGCTCAAGGATCAATGCATTGTCTGGTCAACCAGTTCAGCATTTTTTCCAATAATGCTAATCAATATCTTCGGTGATATTAATAGAGACCGGGGTTTCCAGTGCTTTAGGGCTTGCACTGTTATAAGGCAGCATGCCATCTTGCCTCAGCCGAAAAAACACTTTTGCTGGGTGTGGCAGCTGAAACAAAATAAACGCCTTCTGTTTTAGAGGCTGCTGCTGAGCAAGTTACAACTCACAGCCGGCAATATTGAGCTAGCAGTATTTGTGCCAAAAAAACTGGGAGCGTCGCTGTAATGACTTGCCTTTGCTTGGGCTGCTAACCTTCTCCAATACACAAACACAATCACGTTCTTGCAATGCACACAAAGACTATCTTGCTCTATGTACAAGCAGTAGCATGCATATTTAGTGTTAAGACAATCACAAACACAATCCCATAAATTTATGTTGTATACACCACAGTTACTTAGCCCAATCTGTCTGTCTCACACAGACACATGCAGACAAGGCTCAGGGGAAGCTTTCTAAATATTTACTGAGCAGCGTTTCACTTTGTCCATTTTAGGACAGTTTTGGAGCCATGGAAGAACTTCTAAAGGTTTAGCTGTCTATTCATATCTTGCATCTGTGCAAAATTACTATTTATGGGTTTATTTTGCCAAACATTGTCTAAACTGATATAAATCTGCCATATACAGAATGGCAAATCTGGCTTAACATTGATGCAGGTGTATACAGATCTGTGTATCCAAATCAAACTTAAACTGGATAAAAAATACATATGACCTACCCTAGAATGAATACTGGTTAACTTGCAACAAGG